ACCCTTCTGTTTACCTGCTTTAACTAAATACCTATTCTGTGTCTTATTGCGTTACCCTTACAACATTGTTTTTTGTTTTCAGTTCTAACTAACCCTTATTTCTCGGTTTGGACTCTGACAAAATGGCGGCTGCCACTGAATGCGAGCTCCATATGCTGAGCAGGGAGCTGCTGCAGTTGGATCAGCAAATCAGGGCTCTCCTAAAGCGGCAGACTGAGCTCCACGAGCGGAAAATCCGTTTTGAAGCAACCTGGGACGCGTCCTGCGCGGCTGTTTTAAGACCAAGCCCGGTGGCGACTTCTACTCCACCGGATGGATCACTACTAGTTTGAAGCCCTTAGCTCGTCGCCTGTTTCAGTGCCTCGGAGAGAGAGTCAGGAGAGTGTTATTCTAATTGGAGATTCAATAGTAAGACATCTTAAAGTAACTTGCTCTGGAAGTAATTCAGCTGTCTGGTGTTTTCCAGGTGCCCGGGTCTTGGATATTTCCAAGCGGTTTCCCACGGCTCTGAGCAAACACGGGGGCGTCAGCACTGTAGTAATTCACGCAGGGGTGAATGACATCTCATCCCGTCAGAGCGAAGTCCTCAAGGAGCATTTCAGATTACTTCTAGACAACCTTAAGAAGAGAACCAAAGCCAGGGTCGTCATCTCGGGACTGCTGCCCACCTACCGGAGAGGAAGCGAAGTGTTCAGCAGGCTCTACGTGCTGCATTGCTGGCTCCAAGGCTGGTGTAAGAACAACGGCGTCGGCTACGTGAGCAACTGGAGTGTTTTCTGGGAGCGACTGGCATTCTACCGCAGGGACGGACTACATCCGAGCCACCATGGGTCTGTTATCTTATCCGGGAATATCGAGAAAGTACTACACCAGGTCTGACTGGACTTAAATGTAGTAGACAATGGACGGGTAAGTAGAATCATCAGGAGACAGGTAAGTGCCTTTAATGAGATAGACAATGTCCCCTTAACTGCTACCATTCCTCTCTGTTTCTGCTGTCTCAACACTAAAGCTAGTTGTGTAGGAAGATTTTGCTCCAAAAACGTCATTAGAGTCTGTGGAGAAGGGGGCGTGGCCAAGCGTCGAATGTGGGATGGAGAAGCCGGTCGGGCTGAACCAGCGGGCTAACTAGCTGATTATGTCCACCTGTGCCTTGTTTTTGCCTGCCTACTTATAGGCAATCTCTTCCTTCAGTAGGCGGCAGAGCCCAGAGAGAGAAGGAGACCACGAGAGCTAAGCTAAACCGAACCGGACTGAACTGACCTGAACGGATCAGGGAAAAAAAGGTGGACAGAAAGGACTGAAAAGTCCCAGCAAGCGTCTTGTCTTTGTGGGCTGAAAAGCCGAGTATTTTGTTTTTGCGTTGTGAATAAAGAAAAAGCTCTCTGTCTACACACCTGCCCCCGGCATCTTTCCTCCTCCCACCATTAATACTTCCACAGAGTCATCAAACCCTGTGTAATTAAAAAATCTAAGAAAAACGTGTGCGGTCAAAACCCTGATAATTTAATTTGCGTAGACCTTAAAAAGACCAGTCCCCCCTAAACACATAGTGTAACTAGCAGAGAATTAAACCTTGCTCTACTCAATGTAAGGTCACTAAATAACAAAACCCTGCTGATTCGAGATCTTATCAAGGAGCATAAGCTGGATTTTATATTTCTGTCTGAAACATGGCTCAGTGATAATGGCACAGCAACTTTACTTGAAGCTGCTCCTGAAAACTACAGATTTATGCATACAGTAAGACAGAGGAGGAGGAGTGGCCTGCATTTATAATAGTGACTTTATCTGCAAAAGTACCTCTATTGGTGAATTCATGTCTTTTGAGTATGTTGCAATCAACCTTTTTAATGATACACCTGTGTTAATAATTGTAATATACAGACCTCCAAAGCAAAATAGTAAATTTGTCAGAAATTGTGGAATTATTATCAGTAGCGTCCACAAACTATGATAAGATTCTTCTGTCTGGGGACTTTAACTTACATATCGATAGTCCTTCAGATAGTAATGCATTAGAATTCATTAGACTTCTAGAGACATTTGATTTGGAGCAGCATGTGGGCAGCTCTACCCACAAGCTAGGTCACATCCTGGATCTGCTCATCACTGAAGGTTTAAAAACAAAGGTGTCTCAAATCTCGGATGTTTTCTTCTCAGATCACTTCTGTATTTTCTTTCAAATCAATTTAGAAGTAAAGAAGAAAGTACCTGAAAGTTACTTTAAAACACGGTACATTGACTCAGAAACAGTTGAGAAGTTTAAAACTGTTTATAATAGTTCAGCGAATACAGATACGACTCCATCCAGTAATGATCTAGTCTCTGATCTAAGTGCTAGATTACGGGAAAGCCTTGACCTTCTCGCCCCAATAAAAAGGAAGAAAAGCTCGCGCACTCTTAAAAATCCATGGATGAATGCGGAAATACGCCAGCTTAAGAGAAATTGTCGTAAATCAGAGCGCTTATGGAGGAAAACTAAACTGCAGGTACACTATGATATTCTCAAAGAGCAGATCTCAGTCTATAATAATGCTATGAAAATATCCAGACAGTCATATCTCTCTAGTGTAATCAATAGACACAAAAATAATACCAAAAACCTTTTTTCCACTATAGACCGACTAATTAACCCTAACTTCTCTGCTAGTGCATTTAATGATTTATCTTCTCAAATCTGTGAAGAGTTCGCAATTCATTTCCAAAATAAAATAGATCTGATACGACAGGGTGTAGCTCAGCAGACTCAAACAAGCTCCTATAATGTTCCTGATAGGTCACCTACATCAGTAATGACATATTTCTCTGTTATCAACTATGAGGAGCTCACAACTATTTTAAACAAACTAAGTTCATCCACATGTGATCTTGACCCTGTTCCTACTTCATTCCTTAAGATGGTTTTTGATTGTGTGCACAATGATGTTTTAACTATTGTAAATTGTTCTCTGTCAACAGGTGTTTTTCCAGATGCTTTCAAAACTGCCCTGGTGAAGCCTCTGCTAAAAAAAGAGTAGCATGGATCCTTCCATACTAAACAATTTTAGACTGATTTCAAACCTACCTTTTCTAAGTAAAGTTGTTTTCAAACAACTAAATGTGTATCTAATATCAAACAATTTATATGAGAAGTTTCAGTCAGGTTTTCATTCTAACCATAGTACAGAGACAGTATTGATTCGTGTTATGAATGACCTCAGGCTCAGCACTGATGCACAAAATCCTTCTATTTTGGTTTTATTAGATCTTAGTGCAGGCTTTGATACCGTTGACCACAAGATTTTACTCCAGCGTCTTGAATGCTGGGTCGGCCTCTCAGGCACAGTTTTAGAATGGTTTAAATCATATTTAAGTAATAGGCAGTTCATGGTTTCACTTGGAAATCATTCATCAAAACGATTTGCCGTTTCTTGTGGAGTCCCCCAAGGTTCAGTCTTAGGGCCTTTGCTTTTCTCTTTGTACATGCTACCTCTAGGTGATGTTATTGGGAAACATAGTATAAATTGTCATAGCTATGCTGATGACACCCAGTTATACATTTTTATTCCTTCTGAAGATCAAGACTCTGTAGACAGACTAACCAGCTGTGTGTCAGATATTTCTCGGTGGATGTCGCAAAATTTTCTACAATTAAATCATGAAAAAACTGAATTACTGATTGTTGGTACAGAAACTCTGAGAAAAATGATTTTTGAGAAACTTGGTTCTTTAGCTTCATCTACCGAACCTGAAGTACGAAACCTGGGTGTGATCTTAGACTCTGAGCTTGGTTTTACCCCACATGTAAACACGGTCACTAAAGTAGCTTTTAAAGAAATATCGCTAAAGTTCGGCCTTTTCTATCTCAGAGCGATACAGAGAAACTTGTTCATGCATTTGTTACAAGCAGAGTTTATTACTGTAATGCTCTTCTTGCTGGACTTCCTAAGAAAACTACACATCCCTTACAACTTGTACATAATGCAGCAGCGCGCATCCTAACAAAAACAAAAAAGAGAGATCACATCACTCCCGTTTTGAAAGAACTGCACTGGCTGCCTGTATCATTCAGGACAGATTTCAAGGAACTCAATTCCACCTTTTATTAGACAGTCAAGCTCAGTGCTCACTTTTAAGAAGCATCTAAAAATGTATCTCTTTAAATTAGCATTTAACTACAACTGAAGGTCTCGTGGTGTTTATCTTGTAGTTTAATCTTCTTCATTTTCTTCTGATTCTAATTAAGTACTAATGATCTTTTCTATAACTATGTTATATCACCTGTCTGTAAAGCACTTTGAGCTGCCACCGGCATGAAAAGTGCTATATAAATACAATTATTATTATTATTATTAATTATTAATTAATTTGAAACTAATCCCAATGAAAGGTATTAATTTATCTTTAAATGTAAAATTTATGTCCTGTTCTTCTTACCTTGCTCAGAAGTACTATGAAATCATGATAAATCCCCTTCAAAAACAGCAGATTGGACAATTTACTATTTCAAGATTTTAACCGTTTGTTTCAAACTAAAACTTGTACGTGCTGAGATATATATGATTATTTTATTATATATTACATACAATACATTTTGTAACTAAAGGTGCTATTAAATGAAATTATGCACATATATTTTTAGTTTCTAGAAATCATCAGGGCGTCTCTGAAGGCATAGAACACTTCCAAAACTGCATACTACATCACCAATAGTACTGCATACAGTAATGGATTTTTGGATGCAGTCTTAATTTAATTTTATTTTTATCAACACACACCAACAAAAATGTGAAATGATAAAACTGGTTTATTGCAGTGTTTGTACGGAGTACAATTTTAGCATTTTAGCATTCCACATAGATAAATCACCAATGTTTAAGTTGCTAAGCATAATTTACTCTGATGTAACTGAACTTGACTCAACCGACTAAACTGGGAGCTGATAAACGTTAATTTGAAATTATTAAACAAAGAAATTTGAACAAATTTAAAATTGTTGAACAAAGCTCTCAGTTATCTGTAATTATGAGCTCTATTCAGATGTGCATCTGCATATCTGTCAGTAGTAGCTCTTATCTTCAACAATGTTGAGGGAATCACAGATGGCTGCCAGCTTTCTGTTGTTCTCCCTCATCACATCGATGAGTCTTGGTATGCGTTCATTACAGAGGGGCTGATTCCCTGTGATTTCTCCTGCTGCCTTAATCAGATCCTCCATCACCTTCATCACTGACTCCTGGAGGATGAATCTGCGAGTCTGAACTTCAGCCACACTAGCCTTCCCACTCAGACCACTCAGGACACGGACGGCTCTTCTCACTTTCTCCTGGAACTCAGCTACAGACGCTCTCTGTTTCTTTCCTTCTTGGATTTCTTTACGGATCTGCTCCATTTTTGCATGTTGCTGTTTGATGTTGTGCTCAGTCTGAGAAATCTTCGATTCATATTCAGATACCTTTATTCTGAACGTTTCGACTTGACACTCACAGCTGCTCACCTCCTTTTCAGCTGCATCTACAGCGTGTGAAGCTTGAGTCAATTCCACTATTCCAGCAACTACCACGACAGGACCTGCATGCAGAGAAAAGAAACAAAATGTGTAGGCATATCTCTCACAAATAAAGTTTAAGCTTGCAAAAGAGAATACATTCCACCATGGGAGTGGGAGTGTGGGGGGTGTTTTGCACAAAAAAAAAAAAACAATTGCACTGTTCTGCTTGTCCATTTTGAGGGAGGGACATGGACACATAAGCTTGAATCATACATAAGTATTTCAAAATTAATATGAAATCAAAGTAAAATTAATAATTTGTGTTTTTGTTATCATAAACTTTTGTTTTATTATGTTAAGTTTATTAAAGATACAGTGATGTCCCCTGTCCCACATTCCTGCATAAGGATAAGAGACTGCACATCAGTTCAGCCTTAGCTTTGGCAGGAAGCCTGCTCAGCTTGACCCCACGGAGTACACCATATGAGAAGTCTCACCAGCAATCAATCCAACAAGTGGTACAGCGAACAATCCCGCTCCTACACCTGTGACGATTGCAGCATTTCGTCTCCTCTCCTCCTGCCTCCGCAGTGTGCGTCTTGTTGAATTCAGATTTGTTCTGGCCTGCTCCAGAGCGCCTTGAGACATTTTCATTAAGTTCACATTAGATGTCTGCTCAGTTCTCAAGTTGCCTAAGGTGAGTTCTGCATCACTCATCTCTCGTTGAAGTTTTCCCTCCTGTTGTGTAAGAATCTCAATTTTTTCATCCAGAAACTTCAGCCCTGTATTGGCTGCATTTTCTGACTGCTCTAAGTTCTGCTGGGCCTGCACAATCTGCTCTCTGATGTAGTTGAAGTTGGAGCACTGCCCACTAAAGGAATCTACAGGTGCATCAATGAGGGCATCGTAGATTCTGTTGATGGAGCAAAGGCCATTTTCCAGAGGCACAAGAACTTCTGTAACTGAGTCCTTTCTCAAAAGACTGTAGAGAAAAACATAAAAAGATAAAGAATAAAGAGCATTCATTTAGAAAGCAATTTTTTGGATTTGAAATCTTAAATAACTGGTATAATTCATTTAAAATTAATTACTTTTAAAGTCACTTATTTATTTTAAATGTAAAAGGCATGTTTCTCTTATTATTTGCATATGTTTTTATTCTACTTACTCAGAAGAACAGATTTGGCTCATGGTGATCTGAGGAGAAGAAAAGCAGAAAGTAAATGTGTAATTAATAAAAATTCTTAATAAAATCTAGTTGCAAAACAAGCTAGATGAACTATTATGATCGCACACCTAGCAGTGGGACCTGCTGCAGGCACTAACATGTTCCTTTCTGGAAAGCCCCAATGAGCTGTGAATACGCAAACATTCCATTTCAAGGACTAATGGTCTAAACATTGATTAATCCATTGTGATCCATTGCCATTCAACTAAATCAGTTTAAAAAATGTTAGATTAGATTGTGATTTTAATAATAATCAATCCAGATCCCCTATCTGTCTCCATTGATCTATTCATTGACAAAGCACGTGAGCAGTGTGTAGCATTATAAAAACAATAAAATGCAGAAGTTTTATTGTTTATGAGGAACCCAGTGAGGGCTCCCACTTCTACATGTGTGCAGATATAAGCATTCAACTTCCTCTGGCATTCTTCAAGCCCAAAGTAAGCAAAAGCCGATTCATTCTGTACGTTTGTATGGACAGATAGTCTAACAATTTGTGTTACAACCCCAGTTCCAAAAAAGTTGGGACACTGTGTAAAATGAAAATAAATGTAAATAAAAACAGAATGTTTTGATTTGAAAATCTCATAGAGCCATATTGTATTCACAACAGAACATAGAGCACAGATCAGACGTTGAAAGTGAGACATTTGACCATTTTCATGAAAAATATTAATTCATTCAGAACTTGATGGCAGCAATCCATCTCAAAAAAGTTGGGACGGGGCAACAAAAGTAAGTGGTCCTAATAAAAAAACAGCTGGAGGAACAATTTGCAACTAACTCACATGACTGGATATAAAAACAGCATTTTAGAGAGACAGAGACTCTCAGAAGCAAAGATGGGCAGAGGTTCACCAATCTATGAAAAACTGTGTCAAAAAATTGTGGAATAATTTCAGAAAAATGTTCCTCAACGTAAAACAGTATATAATATCATCAGAAGATTCAGCGAATCTGGAGAAATCTCTGTACACAAGGGACAAGATCGACAGTCAACATTGAATATCTGTGATCTTCGGGCCCTCAGGTGGCACTGCATTGAAATCATCAGGCATTATTCTGTATTGGAAATCACTGCATGGGCTCAGGAACACTACCAGAAATCATAGTCTGTGAACACAGTTCACTGTGCAGTCCACAAATGCAAGTGAAAACTGTATCATGCAAAGAAGAAGCCGTATGTCAACACGATCGAGAAAAACTGCCATCTTCTCTCGGCCAAAGCTCATTTATAATGGACTGAGGCAAAATTGAAAACTGTTCTGTGGTCAGCTGAATCAAAATTTGAATTTTTTTTTTTTTGGAAACCACGGGCGCTGTGTCCTGTGGACTTAACAGTAGAGGGACCATCCAGCTTGTTATCAGCGCATAATTCAAAAGCCTCCATCTCTGATGGTATGGGGTTGCATTAGTGCCTATGGCGTGAGCAGTTTACACATCTGGAAAGGCACTATCAATGCTGAACAGTATATAGAGGTTTTAGAACAACATATGCTGCCATCCAGACAGCGTCTCTTTCAGGGAAGGCCTTGCATATTTCAGCAAGACAATGCTAAACCACATACTGCATCCACAACAACAGCATGGCTGTGCAGAAGAAGAGTCCAGGTGCTGAACCGGTCTTTCTGCAGTCTATTGGTGAAAACATTTGGCACATCATGAAATGAAAAATCTGGCAAAGAAGATCCAGGACTGTTGAGCAGCCAGAATCCTACATCAGACAAGAATGGTACAACATTCCTTTCCCAAAACTCCAGCAATTGGTCTCTTCACTTCCCAGATGTTTACAGACTGTTAAAAGACGAGGGGAAGCTACACAATGGTAGACGTGGCCCTGTCTCAACTTTTTTGAGATGCGTTGCTGCCATCAAGTTCTAAATGAGTAATGTTTTTTATGAAATGGTAAAATGTGTAATTTTCAACATCTGATAAGTGTTCTATTGTGAATACAATATGAGTCTATAAGATTAGCAAATCATTGCATTATGATTTTATTTAACTTTATTTACTTTTTACACAGTGTCCTAACTTTGGGAATTGGAATTGGGGTTGTGGTATTGTTTTAGTTTTAGTATTATCTTAGTTTTAGTATTTTAAGAAGCTATTAATGCTTAAAAGTATTCTATTGAAAAGTACATGCATTACCTTCAAAGTTTTCAGTTGCACAGATATAAATAAATAAATGAAATGTGTCACATTTGCACCTCTTAAAAATAAATGTGCTGAGAATGTATTACTTTATATATTCCCCTATTGTTTAAATTGTTTTACCAGTAACATTTTGGTATTCAGTGTACTTTCAATTTTACCAAAAAAAAATAAAATTAATAAATACATAAATAAAAAGTGAACAGAATTACTTTCAGGTCAGAGATTTACAACCATCGCAAGGAATTTTGTTGTGAACTTCATGTTCCTTTACTCATATAGATAATGGTTTCTACATGGGATTTATCTTGGAATTATAATTCTAGGATTAAACATTCTGGGCTTGAACTGTAACATTATGTGATAGTTTTCCAGACTTTTTCCACTCACACATTCACAACCGCCATTCCATTCTATTAGGATCCAAAGTTTTTCATGGCATTGGTCAAATGTAATTATTATTTTCGTTTTTGCAAATGTTTGTAATATTTGCATATGAATATTTACTTTCTACTCCTTGATGATTGATTAAAGGAAATCCTTTTAAAACTATTTAATGGCTTTCCCCTCAAATATGTTTATTTTACATTCTTATTAAATCTATAATGTTGTTGCATGCAAACTTTGAATAAAAAAATCTCTATATTTACAGCATTCTAAAGAGCTAGAAATAAGAAAAATACTAATTATCCTATCAACAGAAAAACATTTTTGTGATGCAGGCAATCAGTTTGAATTATGAAATCTTACCTCCTGTTAGTCCTATCAGACATGTAATAGTCCACCTTCGATGATTAGTATACATGAGGATGAATAGCTCCTTATTTGAAAGTGCAGCAGCATAGCTCTGTTGGTGGGCTGGGCTTTTTGATCCTTCAGGTAATAAATACACTGTGGCTTTTCTTTATTCTTCATTCCTTCTCTTCCATTCAGATCAGCAGAGCTGAGAGAACTTCATCCACACCTTCACTGAAAATAACTGATATATCAAGGTAGGACAGCTGATTTAATTAAAAAGGCATTGACAGCTTCATGAATAGAACAGGTCTGTTTGCCATGACTAGCCATCATTGAAAATAGATGTTGCTTGGCTTTTTTTGTGTTCCATATTTTTTCCACATTTCTGAAGACTCAAAGAGTAGGCTCTTTTCAGGTTAAAAAGAAAAAAATGCAAAAGAAAATCTACAGCTGAAATCATTTTCAAATGGTAGAGCGACACTGGACACTTTCTTTACTAGTTAAGATGATCCTAAAACTAAGATGGTTTTGGGAAATGGGGCCCTGTTTAGTTGCAGGTGTGATGGGAGCGAGGAAAACACAAAAAATTGCTGCATGGGGGATTTTCCATAACCAGCGCTTAGAACAACTCATCTACATAAATGCTTGGTGCACAGCAAAAAAATGTTTTATGTTTAATACCAAAGTATTCCAATGTTTTGGACATCATTGAGGGACACATCTCTTATTTTCCTTATGTGTAACATTATACGATATTACTCTCACTACATGTCCATTAGCACTTTTTCTCACCGCATTCTGCTGCACAGATCTTTCTGCTCACTGCAAGTGAGTGTTTCTTTGTTGTTTCTGTTATGAAAATGAAAGAACTGTATTTGAAATATCTGGGGCAATAACAATCCAATACACTGTTAGCTGTGCACAGAAGCTTACAATAACACCAAAATTAAGCCTTAATTTTTATGCTTTCACAATTTTCAGGACACATTTGTTGTCCTGTTCCCTGTTCATTAAATTTGTTAGATTATTTCCACAGTGCTGAGTAGTTTTTGGGGAGCCCAGCTGCTGGGCTAGTGACTGTGTGTCAATAGCAACCAATCCGAAGGGTTTATTTTCAAATCGTAACAGTGCCGGGTTAAACAGAGTTGGTTAAGCAGCTTCTCATAAGGCAACAGCAAAGAGTCACAGCTAACAGGAATCGGTAAGTCAACTTCTAGGAAACATAAGCTTTTTACTACTCATAATATAGACTTTACTACTTATTAGCTTAGTTAATGTTAGCCCACCTTAATGTTTGTTTCTACTGTCTTACTAGAGGGTCATTTGCAGCCGAAGCCCTTTATATGACATTTGTAAATATTTATAGCTGAATATTATTTTGTAGTAATCTGTAGCAATTTACATTAAGGGTTGCAAATTAATTGAGAATTGTATACTAAAAAGTTATTTAATATGATTCTTTCAATCAATGTGATTTTTTTTAGGTTGAATAAAACTAGTTCAATTGCTTGTTACCACATAAAGTAATTTTTTAAGTACATCTGATGAGAGACTTTTTGCATTGTTGCATAAGATGTCCAAGTTTGAAGGATGTGATTGTAGTTGTCGAAATTAACGTGCAAGTTAATTTAGAATACATTTTTATTGAAAATTTATATGTATATATTCCTCTGTACTTGAGGTGACACAAAAACAAGTAGCAAGAAAAGATATCAGTAACAAGTCAAGTCTTAATTGAGTTCATAGAATAATTAATAACAAGAATGGTCACTTTAGTGGGAAGGACACAAAGGAGTAATTAATTACTAACAATAAACAATATATAGCATATATAATCTACTGATTTATTAATTTTACCAGAATGTCTATACATAAAATAGTAGACATTCTGGTAAAATTAATAAATCAGTAGATTCATTAATGGGATTAACAGATCATTAACAGGATTAACACATGAGTACTTATAAGTTCTTCGGTTATTTATTTTCATGATTAAACACACATCAGTTCATTAGCATTGTAATAAGCAACAATTGGTAAATAAGCTGTGAATGAATACTAAACTAAGCTATCAGTTAACAGTGTACTCAATTACTAATTATTAAGTACTTAATCAGTTACTAATGTATAATGAGCAGTTATCTAATATATAAGTAATTATTAGCATGTAATTATCAATTATTTGTGATGTGTATGTGGCTAACATTATTCTACCAAATACATTACACAGATAACCTAACCAATGTTAGTTAACCCAGTAAACTTGGGACGCACATTAGATCACCACTTTCTATCAGCATATGGTACATTACTTTGGATGAAGTGTAAAGAAGGGAAAATGTTTGCCATGTGTTTCGTTGTCTCTAAATTTGTCATCATTTCTATTTTATAGGTTGGAACAAACATGCCAGAATATCTGCAGCAAACTGAGAAGAAGCTTAAATATTAATAAAAAATAATTACAGCTTTATTGACCAATATCTTTGTTCTTAATAATTACATTAAGTAGAATACAAAATATAAAAATTATATGTAAAAATAAAATAAAAAAAATAAGCAAAGACAAGGCAAGTTTATTTGCATAGCACTTCACTCACAATTCACACAAACACAGGCTTGCACATAAAAATAGTAGACCTTCTATTAGATTAGAATCAGGTTTTAGATATGTGTGAAAATGCTGGATGGTTTGACAAATACCATTACTCACTGTCTTTACTTTGGAATGTGCTTTGATTGACACAGGTCTCCAAGTTCCAATTTTTCTTTGACAGTTTTTACCCCCTTTATGTCAACTTGACCAAGTCTTCCAAGGTTCAACATGTGGGCAACGCTGCTTTGAGTGGTTCCTCAGAGTGAAAGTTAAGTTATGAAAAGCTGAATCTTAATAGTTTCCAGAAGCAGATTTGGCAGCTTACAATGATCCCATTTTCTTAAGTTTATTTGCAAAATAAGATAAACAAAGTTTATGTGTGGATCATTTTTTTTCCCTCTAAACCTGACATCTCTGAACTCATCAGAGTTTATGTTTTTGCAGATGTTTTGATTGGCTTTCAGAACTGAATCTTTTAAATTTAAGTGGACTTTCTTCTAATTTGTTGATGAGCTGCACTACAAATGTATATTTACTCTGTAATTCTGTATTATTAAAAATTGAAGTAGCGAAGTCAAAGCACTCTTTCAGAAACAAACTTAAGTAAAAGTACTATGATTTAAGTCTACTCAAAATAGTACTTTTACAGAAAAAAATGTACTCAAATACAGTAATGAGAGTAAATGTAATTTGCTACTTTCCACATCTGCATAACATATATGTCAGGTGAGTTTTTCTTGACATTAGGTTCTGTCATAAGACTTTGTGGGGTGAAGTGACATATTATGACAGTTGCTTTTGTAGCTCAGTGTATTTTTGGTACACAACTTGTAAAATCAAATAAACGTGAGTTCTTTTATGCTTTGACTATTTGACCTTTATGCTATTATGCTATTACAGCATTACTAATCTGGTAGTTATATGGTAACTATTAAACACTAAAATTAGTTATCTACATTTCATTTTACTTGGCTTTTAAGTAAAACAAGCAATTTGTGCAATTGTTCTTTTTCACTATATGTTCTGGCATTCAAAAGGCACATTTCACAGAGTCACATATTTTCTGAAACTTCAGAGCTAACTTGTAACAATCTCCACTATATGCAAAAGTCATTAAACACCCATGTCATATTCAGTGAATATCAGTCAAAAAATATTGCAGGCAAAATATAAAACTAGTAACCTTAACCTCAAACCATAATCTTAATCTTACCCTCACCTAAAGCTAACCCTGATACTTATCTTCACTCTAATCCTAACACTGTTGAGAATCATCTGTGTTTCACAAGTTTATTAATAATTGAAATATCTATCGATAATCTACCTAAATAAAGTGGGACTAAATTTCTTGTGCTGAACATTAAGGCAGCTGAAGCTGATTAATGTGCAGGTCACTAATTGTTTAACTCTTTAAGTAGCCATGCCAATCGAGCTGAGAGAAGTACCATACATGTGGGAGATTGATTAGTTGTACCCAGTCTGCTCACCAGAGAGCCCCTGCACTATTAATGAGCATGAACAATGTGCTTTAGGGATGCTGTAAATGTTTGTATTACTACAAAGAGGAAAACTTTGGGTAGCACTTTACAGATCAGTAATAAGTGGATAATGATATGGTAATATTATGGTAACAAGTGTGTACTAACCTAAATATTTACCTGAAACATTAAGAATCAGAATCACTTTATTTTGCTGCTACACTATTTTTATGTTACATAAACAAGCAATTTGTCTTAATGAGTGCACACTATCACATTTAACATACTGAACCAGACCAGACAAGCATATAGACTAGTAACAAATATTTATTTAAGGGACAGTTAAAATAAAAATACAATAAATAAAATAAAGAATAAGAAAAAAAAATAAAAAGGTTCCAATGTGGAGGAGCTAAAGATGTGTAAATATCTGTATGTGTGCAGATATGAATAACTATACATACAGGTCAGAATATTACAGATTGATATTTGTAAAAATTAACCTCTGTACAGTTGTGAAAATAAGCATGATGTTAGAGAGGAGTTAAACTGTAATCAAGTAGGTTTGTTAGGTTCAGTTTAAGTTTAAAGTGTGAGATGACCATTATAGTTGATGAGTGCTACAACTCTGAGAAAACAGCTGTTAGCAGGTCTGGTTGTGCTGGTTTTGATGGTTCTCAATCTTCTACCAGAGGGAAGTGCACTGGAAGAAGTAATGTCCAGAGCACCTCATCATCCTGCTGTTGTAGCTGTCCTGAAGTGTTGGTAGACTACATTCAATGATGCAGACAGAGTAAAGCACATGAATATTCAGAGAGAAACAGATAAAATCTGACATAGACAGGATTGCATGGGGCAGTCATTATAGTAATTGAAATGAGCCACAAGTGAAATGAGTCCAGGTGATCAGGTGGGCGGTCGAATGTTAGTTCTTGCCCTATGACTTCCTCCAGCATGCAGGCAACAAACTACACTGTAAAAATTAAAAGGGTACTTGAGGCACCTTTTGGAGTTCCTCAGCTCACCACACTGGCAGAACCCTTTAAGAACCCTTAAAGAAACATCCAGTAACCCTTCTGAAAAGAGTAGTTTTCTGAGGAACTTGTACAAGATTCTTTGAGGAACCATTTAATCCATCATGGTGCTTCAAAGAACAATTTTTAAACGGCTTGACTCTTTAACCCCTTAAAATACCAGGCTTATTACATACTAGGGCTTATTATTCAGAAACTACAGGGACTTCAATGCAAACTGGCTGAGCTTTTCTTAGGTTATAGACCTGTGTGTAGTAAAACCTTGGCTGTTTAAGCGATTAAAGAACTTTAGTTTATTTCAGGGTTTGGGGCCTACTACTACTGTTGCCAGAGTTAAGCACTACAACTAGGAAGAATTTAAGGATTGTTAAGGATTGTACAACTTCACAGGCTTCAGATAATCAGTAGGACACTAAGAAGCTGTAAATACAAATTAAGAAATGCTAATTGTGTCCAGAATGTTTATTGAAGCTACAGAAGATTTTAAAGATTATTATTATGTGTTATTTTGTGTTACAGCCCTTTTTCCTTCCTTTTACAAGACAAGGAGATGTTAGTTTTTGGTAAAAAGTTTGTGCGTCATCTTTTTTAACCCACAGACTTCAAAAGAATGAGCTTTGTTTGCACCGTGGTCAAACTTTAATGGTGAATGCTAATAACAAATAGACAGTAAATAAACACATTTATAGTTGAAAATAGCCCAACAAAATATCAGGTTTCAGGCCAAGTACAGTATATATCAGTGGTGCCCAACCCTGGTCCTTAAGGACCCCTGCTCTGCACATTTTAGTGTTTGCCCTGCTCCCAACACACCTGATCCAACTAATTTTCTAATTGACAACTCCTTCATCAGTTGAAGTAGGTGTGTTTTGGAAGGAAAACACAGAATTGTGCAGGACAGGGTGTCCTCCATATACGCTGGTATATATAGTAGATATTGCAAACTATTACAAATTTCCCAAATGCATTTTGCTGCACTCCTTCGCCAATGCGTGTACAGTCTATCTCTCTTGTGCATGCCGTCTCTTCTGCTTCTCTCTCTTGTACATTTTGTTTCTGTTTTCAACTTTTTACTGTTTTTACTGATTTACTGTGTACTGTATTATTCAAAAAGCAGCGGTGTAGTATTTTAAGAAACACCAGTATCAGTATTCAGAGGGTCCCAGAAAACCTATACACAGAGTAAAAGATTCAAATGCACGCATGCAAATTCCAGTTCAGTCATGCTTTTACTGGATGTAGGTGCTCACGAAACCTTTTGGTTATGCAAGTTACCTGCCAGAATACACAAGGACCTTGCGGAACCCCTACAAAATTTTAAGGTTCTTAACTCCTTCTAGTCCTATAAGTGCTTCTAGGAACCACTTGCTTGAGGTCTCACTGAAATGAAAAGGGTTCCTCCAAAAACCTATAGCTAAAGCATGGTGCTTGAAGGAACCCAGTGAGGTAGTTAGAGGTTCCTGCAAGAGCTTGTTGGCTATCAAGTGTTCCTCCAGTAACTTAATTTTTTAAAAGGTTTTTTGAGGCATCTCTTTGAGTGTGCTATTGGATATTCAAGGTAGTTTTTACAGTGTACAGTTGAGGTATATTTGCTCCCTCTGGTGTTGTTTGAGGTGAGACAACATGATAATGTGCGCACCAAATACTATAAGATAATATCATGTGTGCACCAGGTGCTATCAAGTGAGGACCAGATATCATCATGTCTGCACCAGATACCATTAGGTGAGCATCAGATACTGTCACATTAGCACTAGACACCATTAAGTAAGCACCAGATACTATTAAGTGACCATCAGATATTTAATGTCAAGTCAAAGTTTATTTAAATAGCGCTTTTTACAAGAGGTGTTGTCACAAAGCAGCTTCGCAGAAAAATCCGGGTCCAAGCCCCCATGAGCATTGCCAGTGGCGACAGTGGCAAGGAAAAACTCTCTAAGAACAAGAGGAAGAAACCTTGAGAGGAACCAAGACTCAAAAGGGGAACCCATCTTCCTCTGGTCGACACCGGACAGCAAACAGCACTAGTATAAAATATTAGAATACAAAACGGGGAAAAAACAGGTGGTGCAATACTTAATTAGATAGTTTGAGTTTATGCAGCAGCAGCAGCAGCATCATCCACGGTGGTCAAAATGGTGCAGATCAGCCAACGGAGATGGAGCTCTGGTGACTCTAGCAGCTCTGATGGCTCCCATGTAGCGACTCAGGCAAAACTGATATTAGCAAAATGCTTGTGCAAACAGATACATTTTGGGTCAGATAAGCTCCAGATATTATCAAGTGATTAATATTTGCTTGCACAGTAATGTTTGGAGCTCACCTGGTGCCACCTCAATAATATGTAATGTACACTTAATAGTATGTGGTAAGTATACGATAACATTTCATGCTCACCTGAAAATATCCAGTGTGCACACAAGAATATCCTGATAGTAATTTGTAAGCACATGATGTACATGTACATTGCATGCACCAAATTTATGCTAAATAAAAACACACCATGCCCTTTCAGTGGCTCCATAATATCTACCATTAATGATGGAGAAAATGTATTCTACATTTTACATAAAAATGAAAAAGTGGTTGTGAATACAAAAATGCTAGAAGATGTAACCAATCAATTATCCAAGTAAACTGTGTCCAGTCAATGAGAAGTTCATTAAATAAAATCTACAATATTTTAAAATATATTTAGTTATTTTTATTTATTTCCTTTTTACTATTTCATTAAACAGAAACAAAGAAGCAATGGATTCCAAAATTATGAAGACTACTCAAAGTCTCACCACAGCTGAGGAGATGAGAAACCAAACCAAGCTTGTGATGCAGCCTTATGCCAACTGGGAGGAATACCTGACTCCTGCACCGCTCTCCATAGCCATCCTGGGAGAGCTGGTCTTCATCTCTTCACAAACTGATTTCTCCATCAACAAAAAACCACCAAAGGACGGCTACAAGTACATCAAATACCCAGATTCATTTCGTGCCTGTCTCATGCAAGTGTGTAACTCTGGCTGGTGGGCTTTCAATGAGGCCCACAAGAACATGGACCAGATTCGGCTCCACACCATGGCTGTTCCAGACTACATGAAGACTGCTGTGAAGATACTTTTCCAAGGTAATGATGAGGTTGTTGAAGCCCACCTTCCTGACCAGCTGGAGAACATTCGTGCCATTGCTGATGACTGTCTTGAACTGGCTGAATCAACAGAAAAGCGGTTCACTGATGTCATCAATATTATCCAAGAGTTGCTGGAAGCCTGTTTAAATGCTAAGCACTTTTACGGAGAAGAGCTGGAAGAAATCAAGAAGAAACTGGAGGAGAATAAAATTAGAAAACAGTCAGCAGAAGAAGCTGCTAAACGCTCTGAGAAGGCAGTTAAAATCATGGAACAGGAACTAGCAGAAGCACGAGAAATCTACAATAAAGCAATGGATTCTCTACCCAGTGGATGGAACATGATAGCTATGGATCTTGTTGGAGCTGTAACTGAAAGTTATACACTTTTAATGAATGGACTGACAACATTGATGACTGAGCCAGTGGCACAAATGTGCAATGCTTCGAAAGAAATTGCAGAGACAGTGAACCACATAAAAGGCTCTACTGTAGATGGAGTTGATGAAATAAATATCTATAGCAAGTCTGCAGAAATCATGATGTGCACAGAGCTTCTTCAAATGTTTGTGCAGGAAAATACCATTGACTGGAAGACACTGTATGATTGGAAGAAAAAAGCAGCAAAAACAGATTTTATAAAAGAGCAGTTTCAAAGAATCAATTGCAGCCTGGAAAACTTCCCACAATGTCTACCAAAGATGCGAGCCCAAACATTGTGTGAACAGGCCATTAACATCTGTGGAGAACTGGCAAAATATGCATCAGATGGGAAATGTGAGGAAGCCAAAACAGAGGAGCTGATCAACAACATCAGAAAACTGACTGAATCAGCCTGCAGTTTTGACTGCAAGAGCAAGGATTTCACAAAGACACCTTCCCTGACTCCAAAGCCACCAATGATGTTGAAAGAGAAAAATAAATCTGAGAAGACGAGGGCTTCAGAAAGAGCATCGGGGAATGCCAGGTTCCGCATAGAGCAGAGCCGAGCTCAGCTGAACAAGATCAGAGAGACCTATGAGAAGAGTGTGGAGAACATGGAGAAAAACCAAAAGGAACTGACTGAAATTCTGATCGACATGAGAAACTGCAAATTCAAAGAGATAGACTTTAACACCACCATACAAATGCTGGTCAAAGGGATGGATGCCATGGGGAGAGTGAAGGAGCAGTGGGAGAAGATGGTGCGCTTCTTTCAGATGGTGTCCAACATTGTGAAAACCAGCCTGAACAGAACTCTCAAAGATTTTGCCTCCACGTCTGAGAAGACTCAGTCACTTTCCTACAACTCAAAGCTCTTCTCCAAAGATCTGCTGTACAATCAAGCTTTTCAGGCCACTAACATTGCCAGCCTCGTCCACATGATCTCAGCAACCTACACTGAAGTGTCTGAGAAGTATCTCATGGATCGTATCAGCTCACTGGGGAAACTTATGGCCATGGACAAGGAAAAACCAGAGTTTGAACAGGAGCGTCTGCAGTTACAGAATGGCTGTGATGAAGCTCAGAAAGGCATTTTACGCCTTGTTCTCAAGAATAAAAATGAGTTTGAAAGGAAGACTGACTCAAGACTGGAGAAGATTGACAAAGAGTTGCTGGCCATTCTTCCCCCTGCTGCTCCAGAAGAGATGAAGAGCATCCAAGCAGCTGTTGAAAGGGGATTCACAGAAGATGAGGAGGCAGAATATTATTGAATGTGTATGCAAAATTCATACTCATTTTGTGCCATTGGTAATGACTAATTTCCCTCAGTTCCCCCACATTAATTTTGCTTACAGGACAAACATAATCTGAAAGGTGCTACTGTCCTGGCTTTTCATATTATTCTCTTTATAATGGGTTGTGGTAGTTATGCCACTGTTATTTGTATAGTGTGGCAGATTAATTTGGTTTTGGAAGAAAGTGAAACCTGAATATACAGACACATAGTACTACTACTACATAATATTTTCAGTCAGTTTGATAAATAAGCTTCTGTGCATATAAAAATAAGATTTTATTTAGAGTTTATTTTGAGAATGCCTTATTGAGGAAATGTTTGTCTTTATGCCTTACACTTTATTTCCATAATTAATCTAATTATTTCATTTGATTGTCCTACAGTGCATATGTTGAAGAGCAGACTGTTTAAAACGTTTGTTTTTAATTTACAATTCACTAGATGGCAGTATATTATAATTACATTAGAACTGGCCTGACTGCATGTCTTTGGAAATATACAGACACTGGGAAAACAGGCACTGTGGGAAAGCTCCACACAGAGAGGGCCCTGGGGGATTAAACCCAGGCCCGTCTTGCCAAGAGATAACATGGCTACCCACTGAGCACCAAGGCCTGTGCGTGTATGTCTAGTTTAAGGCACTATTAATAATAGTTAATATGCTATGCAAATGGTGAAGGAAACACCCAGTACTTCCTTCATTTGTCCATTGCAGAACTGCGATATAATACCCATCACAGACTGTTCCACACTTATATAACACAGGTGTCATGTTTCTATACAGTTTTCTATACTCTGAAATGAATGAACACATTTTTTTCCTAAAAACTTCATTTAACATGCCTATGCAGCCTTTTCTATCATTTGAACTGAATCAACATATTTGTTTCTTTACTGAACCTTTATGGAACTTGCTGTGAAAGACAAGGTCAATAAATAAAGGCACATGTAAGCATCACACTTGACTAAATGGTCCATTCCAGCCTATTAGACTCATCTGATCACATATGAATTCCTGGCACATGCTTGTCTACAGACATTAACATACATATAGATAGCTGTCATAAATTCTTCATTGTTTTGTGGGTCACGTTTATTGTAGAGCATTTAATTCTCACAGAGGTGACTTCATTATAGTGGAAAATTAAACTTAGAACTTTCACTCAGAGAGTGGATGTGTCCACCAGTTACACCACAGGGATTTGTTTTTGCACCTTTTTGGAAAAGGAGAATCAATTTAAAAGGTTTACATTACAGTTTACATTACAGTTACCTAAAATCATCTAAAAAAATTCTAAAAGCTGAAAAGCCTGGGTGGAAGGACCTGGACATGGCTGTCTGGGTGAGCTCCAGTTAAAAGATAAACCTGGCCTTGAGGTAGAGACAGTGGATTAGCAAAGAGGCTGGTGGAGACTGGAGGGCACTGGGGAGCTGCAGAAAGATGTTTCTGAAAAGGTGCAGACGAGGGCAGACTGGAGCCAAAGATCAGACATCTTCTGATCTTTGCTGTCAAAGACATGAGGGCTGTCTGTTGAGTCAGCAGCGAGACTTTCCTTCTGGAGCATGCAGTGCTGAGCCACAGTACCAGACAGTGGTGGTTCTCAAGGCCTTATGCCCCTGAGGAAGCACACCAGTGAGTGAGTACACCTAGATGACCTACAAAAACACACACAAACAAACACATTGGTTAGAAACAGAGCAGATGTGCAGTCAAATGAATTTTATATAAGCTAGTCCCAAGAATTCACTATACTTGAAAACTGACTCACCACTTTGACAATGTGGCTATTAACTTCAGGAAGCTGGATGGTGGTCTCCTGCATCACATGCATTACTAAGGATCTAATGCAAGCATGAGTGATGAGGTCCATAAACAACTTGACAAAAATGGCTTCCACAACCCTGTTGCAGTCTGGCCACTGTGCTGGGCTGTTCGCTCCAAGAAAACACCTGAGGAAAAAAATAACACAAACAACATTATTGTACTTCAATGATTGCTAATTTACAGATTTGAGCAGTGCTAATGTGCACAGTTATGCATATAAACTTACCATCTTGTTGACTCCACGCCTGGAGATACAATTTTCTTTGTTGTGCTCAAAGGCCCTTTATTCAGAGTGACCTGAGCATGTGGAGAATACGCTGTGCGCTCCTTGTCATAGTCACTCAGAGCGTACCAAAGGGTAATTAGATGACTTGGCTCTGTGACAATGCAAGGCTGTGGTCTTTCAAGCTGACCAGAGAGTCTGCCAACTCTTCAACTCTGCTGCAAACCCTGCAATGTTATCAGGCCCTACAGAGTCCTGAATAAACATAATTAATTATTTGGTAACGCTTTACATTAAGGGTCGCTAATCAATCATTAATTATATAATAATCAACTATTAATTTCCCATTATTTAGTTGTTAGTTAACTCTTCATTAAGCATTAGCTATTACTTAGTAATTGATTAAGCACTTATCAATTAGTAATTAAGTACACTGTTAGGTCATAAGTTAAGTTTGTCGTTAGTTTGTGGCTTACTTACTCATTATCTGTGTACTAACTGCTGCTTATTACATTGTTAATTAACTAATAAGTATTTTTCTTCATATAAAGAAGTAACGTGATAACTTACTAGCACTTGTGTGTTAATCCCGCTAATTATCTGTTAATTAACTTTCCATCACCTCCATATATTCAGTTGCTTCACTTTTCTCACATTGGTTCTTGTTCATTAAAGATGCTTATGGTCACATCTGACCGTAAGATGAGTGCACACAAATTCACGGATGGTTTTGTTATTTATCACTTTCATCTTGGCATATCTGTACAAATTAACTCATATCTGGTAGGAGTGCATGTAAATTTGGGCATAAATGCTGGATATGTGGCTAATTAACCAAAACTATTATCAACATAATCTGTAATTGCAAAAATAAGAACAATAGAAAATTTCAATAACACTAATTTGTGTGCATTACAGTCCAGTACAAAAGTGGATGTACTTACTTTACATGCACATTGATATAAACAAGTGCTGCAACTATTTCATGTTCCATTTAAAGACACATTACACTGTGCTTTTGTTTCATACTACTGACTCACAAACACAGCTTCGGTCATACACTGCAATAATACAGCGTTTATTTTAGGGAATTAATTACACTAAACAATCACTCTACTATGTTAACAACACTGAGTATTTTGTTTTATTTCACATTTTATTTTTTCCAGTTGTTTTCATTTTAATACTATTAAGTTTGGTCAGCAGGGGAGGAGTGCACTCACTGCTGGACATCAAACTCCACCCACGAGCACGGCCATTAGCTTTCATGCCAAACACTGCCGTTTTATTGGCTGGCTACTGAAACATCTGCATGAATTAGTGTGTGCTTCATGTAAATGATATGTAAATGAGGTGCTGGTCGGCTGGTTTCATGCACTGAAGCTGATTTATCATTTATGCTCAAATCTCCACTTGTTTCCACATCGTACAAAATTGTTATGAATCAGACGCAGAGCAGTTCATACCTTATAAAAGGCAAAAAAAAAGGTGTTCTTTTTTACGTAACTTTGATGATTAATGGCCATTAGATCTTTACATTTTGACCATTAATTACTTCTTAAATTCCACTTAATCAACCATTCATTGCTTCTTAAATTCCTCTTACTTAATCATTAATTACTTCTAAATTCCTCTTACTTAACCATTAATTACTGCTTTTGTGTCCCTCCAAGTAAAGTGACAACACAAAATCAGTAATTAATGGTTAAGTAAGAGGAATTTAAGAAGTAATTAATGGTCAAAATGTAAAGATCTAATGGCCATTTTGTCATGATAGTGCACGAAAACTAACATATGTCTGTTGTAGCTCAGTATTTGAGCATTATAGTTCGCTGCTAATGCTTAATCCGGACGTAATCGTGACCCTTTGTGAAAAGGGCCCATGGCCATTAGATCTTTACATTTTGACCATTACTTACTTCTTAAATTCCTCTTACTTAACCATTAATTACTGCTTTTGTGTCCCTCCAAGTAGTGATAACACAAAAGCAGTAATTAATGATTAAGTAAGAGGAATTTAAGAAGCAATGAATGGTTGATTAAGTGAAATGTAAAGATCTATTGGCCGTGGGCCCTTTTCACAAGAGTCGCGATTATGTCCGGATTAAGCATTAGCAGTGAACTATAATGCTCAAATACTGAGCTACAACAGACATATGTTAGTTTTTGTGCACTATCATGACAAAAGGAAGTGAATGGAAGCACTGATTTAACTGTAAACACAGCTAAAATGCTGTGTGTGGTGGAGCCCTGTTTACTGCTGCTGCAGCTGCTCACATCAAGCAGTGTCTCTGTAGTTGAACAACATGCCAGCAATTTCTGTAATATTTGTGTTTTCAAAGGAAATTAAAGTTCTTCTGTGTAGTATGAATTTGGTAGACGTTTTTTAGCTGTAGCTAGCTAGCTACGCTAGAAGCCATTTCTAACTGTAGCTGTGTTCCCAAAATAAGGAAGCTAGTTAGCTTTCATCAGCTGCTGCCACCAGCCGGCTAACGTGGAGCAGGTTCTGTGACACATTTAGCTACATGATGGCAACGACTTCTGACATAAACACAAACCAACACTTTTACATGTAAAGTCTATTTTACAGACCTCGTTTAAACTGTATTAGCTTACGGTAGGCTAGCAGGCTACAGTCGCTAATTAGCTAGCCTACCATTAGCAGTTTGAGGAGCACCAGCTTCATGAGCAGGACACTTTAAAGCTAGTTAAGTTAGCTCTAACGCTGGCTATGTTAGCGATCAGCCAAACAGCATTATTCTTATAGTTTCATGGCAATTTTTGAAGCAGCACTTCAGAAAACATCCACCTTTCACTGCTCAGTCAAAAACGCGACTCATAGCTGAAAAAGCTGCTTCATGTTAGCCGTGCTAGTTTGGTTAGCAGTAGCTTCCAGCCAGTATAGCTAGCTTAATATAAACAGAGTCTATAACATTCATGCTACATTTAAAAGTTCTTCTTTCTTTTGAAAACAGAAGATTACCGAATCCCTGGCGTGTTGTACAAAGACACAGAGACGGCCTGATGTGAAGCAGCTGCAGCAGAACTGCAGTAAAAACAACATACAGCATCTCAGCTCTGTTTACAGTTAAATCAGAGCTTCCGTCCACTTCTTACTCTCACTGTCACAACCGTGCAGGAAAACTAAAATACAGCTGCTGGAGCTCAGAGTCTGAGCGTTACAGTTCACTACTAAACATTCTGACAGCGCGTCTGCAGGAAGTGAGTTTTACCCTGCTAATGCTTAAACCGGAAATAGTCACGAATCTTGTGAAAAGGGCCCATTAATCATCAAAGTTACGGAAAAAAGAACACATTTTTCTTGCCTTTTATAAGGTATGAACTGCTCTGCATCTGATTCATAACAATTTTGTACGATGTGGAAACAAGTGGAGATTTGAGCATAAATGATAAATCAGCTTCAGTGCATGAAACCAGCGACCAGCACCTCATTTATATATCATTTACATGAAGCACACACTAATTCATGCAGCTGTTTCAGTAGCCAGCCAATAAAACGGCAGTGTTTGGCATGAAAGCTAATGGCCGTGCTCGTGGGTGGAGTTTGATGTCCAGCAGTGAGTGCACTCCTCCCCTGCTGACCAAACTTACTAGTATTAAAATGAAAACAACTGGAAAAAAATAAAATGTGAAATAAAACAAAATACTCAGTGTTGTTAACATACTAGAGTGATTGTTTAGTGTAATTAATTCCCTAAAATAAACGCTGTATTATTGCAGTGTATGACCGAAGCTGTGTTTGTGAGTCGGTAGTCGGTAGTATGAAACAAAAGCACAGTGTAATGTGTCTTTAAATGGAACATGAAATAGTTGCAGCACTTGTTTATATCAATGTGCATGTAAAGTAAGTACATCCACTTT